AGCAAACGTCCAACTAGTTCATGTTCATATTCACTGAATAGTTTGAATTATAAATAGTTCGAATAGATTATATCAGATAATATTTTCTACTTCATTAATTTTTATTTTTATTTTTATAGAGAGAGAGAGAGTCTTTCTTAGAAATTTTTAAGAAAAAATTGAAATTAGAATGTAATATTTATACCGAAATTGTTTATGGATTTTACAATCACTCAAAAGTATAAAACTATTTGCATAAAGCAACAAATTTGCAACAGCAATCATGTTGTTTTCTGAACTATATGCGTTTGTTGGTATACTTATGTTAAAATTCATTAAAGAGAATAGTGAAGAAATTGAAAACTATTCATTGCAAGTAAATAATTGAAAACTGAAATGGTGTAAACTACTTATTGACAAACAAAATAATTAATTGAGAAGGGTATAGTAAAAAGATAGTAAACCTTATTTGTAATGAGAACATTTTAAATATGTAATTTAATTAAACAATTTCGTAATTTGTTAAATTAAATCTTGAGAATTTGCTTTGTAATGTAAATGAAAATTTCATTTAATGTACTGAACTTGCATTTCACGATAAAAATTAACCCTAACAACTTTATTATTCATTTTTTTTTTTCATTTTTTAAGCTTAACTTAAATGTATAACTTAATAAGCTTATGATGTTGATGTTACTTTAGGTACTAACATTACTTAACTTAAAATATATTTATATATTTTGACTTGAAAGTTCACGCAACGGAACCCTAATTAAATGCGTGTCCCAACTCACATAACAGCTTTTTTACAGTTGCTTTTGTTTCTGCCGCAATTCGTAAATTGTGCCACATTTGACCCATATTAACCGTTTTGAAGCAACAAATGAACAAAAAAATGAGACAAAAACTAAAATGTAATGGTCATTCTTCTAATGTAAAATGTAAATGTAAAATATTGCTTTTTCTAGTGTTGAACAAGATAGCACAGAAAAGTACTTTTTTTAGTATCGTAAAAGTAAACATTAGCTTGGCTTAACTAAGCTTGGCTTAAGTAAGAAGATTAAATAATAAAATCCTTAATATGCTATTACATATTATCTTACATTTGTTACAATTTCAAGGGCTATTAAGGCAATCGTACACAGTTCTATTAATTTTTCAATGAAATCAACACTTTTAAAGAATTCTGAGCCAAGAGGAGGTCACTGATTCGAAAACTACTCACCCCTTCTGATATTAGGAGATCCCTAATGGCCGACATTCTGGCTTAGGGTCTGTTGCAGCAAAAAATATCAACCATGGTCGCAATGCTCCGCTCTGTTGGGAGCTGGTATCCCGGTTACACCCATTTGTATTCCTTCTAACTGACCATTTATTCCGTTTCACATTTAACAGAATAATATTTTTTGCAAATTAATTGATTAATTAATCAATAAAAAGTAAATAGGAACTTATATCTGTTTTTTCTTTGCTTCAACCTAACCATATTCTTTCTTATTTTCTGCGCTTAACAAAAATGCTAACAAAATGTTATTAATTACAATTAATTACAATCAGAAATTTGTAAACCGTCTTCCTCTTTCCCCCTCAATTACATTAAATAACGAAACCATTTCTCAATGTCGTCGCGACGCGTCGTAGTAACGCTAGCGCAGCGCTTTTACACTGGAAATATTGTAATTAAAAAGAAGAAAGAAAAAAAAGAACATCGTTCATAACCGAAGTGCTTAGCAAGGCGTTTCGTTACTATGCAACAACACGTTCCTTGTTAATTTAATTTTATTTTTGTTTTTGTTTTGTTTTGTTTTGTTTTTGTTTTTTTGAACTTTTTTCCGACTAAAACGAGTATTTTTGCATATTTTGTGAGAAAAAATGTTTATTTTCTTATACATTCCTTTTTAGTCATATTTTTAGCACTTCAGTGTTTTAACTTATTTTTCAACGATTTGTTTGAAAAGCAGGCAGGATATATGCAACACTGCATATAAACTTGCAATCCAAATGAGAGAAGGCAACACATCCATTTTTATTTATTAAGTTGATTTTTTTTTTCATTTCCATTTCGTTTTTTGATTTTTATTTTTTATTTTTTAAGTTTATAGTTTTTGATTTTTGTTTACATATTTTTTTTTAAACCTGCTACCATCTTTTCCTTGTTGTTGTTTAGACAACGAAACAGTGAAGTTTCGTTAAAAAATTCGTTTTGCTTTCTCATTCTCACTCTTGGTGATTATATTTTTCTCAGTGCATTTCATGCGGAATTCTCGATCAAACCGTAATTTTGCCTTTTGAAGAGTGCAACCGTGCAACCGTGCATTTCCTCTTCTGTTCCTTTATTGTATTTGTATTTGTATTTGTATTTGTATTTGTGTTTATGTTTTTGTTCTTGTTTTTGTTTTTATGTACTCAAATCTTATTTAAAAGTTTTTTTTTGTTTTTTAATATAATTTTGTTTTTTTTTTAAACTTTTTTTTATTTGGTAGAAGTTAACCTAAATTTTGGTGAGTAGGCAGAAGCTCAAATATTGTAAATACAATCAAATTGACGAATTTTTTTCTGTTTTTTCTGTTTTGTTCTGGTGTTCTGGTGTCTTGGCTTGTTCAGTTCTTGGCTATTACATTCTGTGTTGTAGTTATCGGCACTCTCTTCTCTGAGCACTAACTGCACTGGTTTCGCAAATAAAAAAGAAAAAAATATTAATCACCACCAAACCGTTTTTCATTTTTCAGAAGGATCGAATCTTTCTACCACAAATTACAACGATGCGGTCATAATTGGTAAGAAACTCGTATTTTTGTGTTATTAAAAATGAAAATAATGAAAATAATGAAAATAAAAATATCTACACTTATATGACCACAACACAACAAGAACAAGAAAATCAAAATCAAAATGCAGTTGAGTTTTATAATTTCTGAAAAATAGCAGTTATCTTTCACAAGTTCATAGTACAATTACCACAATAACGACGACGACTAATTAAGACTAAGTTTAGCCGCAGTAAGAACAAGACAAATACAGAAATTGGTTTCATGCTCATTGAGATTTTGATGACAGGTCACACCTGATAACATTATCCACCTGATGTTGATGTTAATGTCAACAGGAAACTGGAACCTGGAACCTGGACAAAGAACAGCAGAGAGAGCTAGAACTGCAGAAATAGATGACAGCAATCGCTAAATCACCACCCTCCGAAAAAATGCTTAAATGTGTTTCCAGAGGGATATATGGTTGGAAGAGGCATGGTGTTAAGATGAGGTTTAGTACGTAAGCGCAAATACCAAAGCAAAGAGTAGGTCTTGGTTGCGAATCGTGCTTACAAGTAGCATAGGCTATCAGTATCTTTTGAAGATTCCACATCCACAACGGTTTAATATTCTATTCGCTATAACTGATATTACAAATCTTATCCAATCAAATCATTTTTTATAGACTTTAATCAATGTTAGAAATCTTTTATGACGCTACACTGCACACTGTAGGCCTTGCTGACTCTAATTAAAGAAAAAAATTGCTATCTTTCACGAAAACGGTACAAATACTACAAGTTAATCAAAATAATAATAAATTTGAATGAGTTGGACTACACATTATTTACTCATTATTTACATTTTCTCTAACCTTCAAGGCAAAAATAAAAACCGTAGTAAATGAGAATTATCAACTAATTTGAAATCCAGATAAATCATCATCATCATCATCCGTGACTATACAGTCCATATAGGACCTAAGTCTGTTTAACAACAGTCTTCCATTCTTTTCAGTTTTTTGCTTTTGTTTTCCAATTTCTTATGTTCATATCTTCTAACTCCTGCTGCACATTGTCTTTCCATCACTTTCTTGGTCACCCTCTTCTTCTGCTGGTTTCTACTTCGTTCTAATAAATGTTAAGTGGTACTCTCATATTCGGCACACTTATCACATGTGCAATCCATCTTAATCGCTGCTTTTTCACAAATTTGATGATTGTTTCAAGATAAAACAAATACCGCAGGAAACGAAACAAATCGGTTCACGAAAAGATATTAAAATGCTGAATAAAATTAAATTTTGATTAAAGCTTTTTTCTTTGCGTTAGATCTCAAGATCAACGTGTTCCAAACTGGACAGGTAAAGTATCACTCAGCTGCTTTAACTAAAGCCTAACCTGCTCAGTATAACAGTATTGGTGCTGACGGATCATTGCGTATTAAGGAGAAATGCTTTGAAACTGTTTCTTCCACATAATGGGTTTTGTCGGAGTTATTGCTCAGCAGATGAGGAGGAAACTGTTCTCCAGCTCTTATGTCAGTGTCCAATATTGACTAACTAGGAGAAGATTTAAAATTTTTTAGGTCTCTTTTCTTCTTTTTTGGGACTTCACAAAACGGTTGTCCTACAAAATTATGAATTTGACAAAGCTTATAGACTTGTGAGGTTGGTTCATTTTTACTTGAATGGGAGAATTATGTATTTCAGCGTTGTTAGTAATATAGCTAATCCGTAATATCACAATGGGCAAATATTTGAGCTCAAGCGGGCTTTGGGCAGAAGGCCGCCATTTCAACCAAACATACATTATTATGTTTGTAATATTTATAATTTTAACTCTTGTGAACAGTTAAGGCGATCGTAAATAAGTAAAATAAATTTGTTAACATATATATGAATAACAGAGAACAAGATGTCGAAGATATGTCCGTCTGTCTATTCGTTCTTCATAAATAATATGGAAGTTCTTGATGGTGCAATCCATTGAAAGCTGGACATTTTCCGACTTTACAGTGTATGTTAAAGTATATAATTCTTCCATCAATTTATTGTGTCTTTGTTATTGTTGTTTTACGAAATCAATACAATCAAAATAATTTTACAACAACAAATCGCCAAAGAAGCAAAGAAGCAAAAACAATAGCATAAATAACGTAGTTGAAAGGAAAATAAAGACAGATGAAAAATAATAATTAAAAAAAAAGAATTATTAAAATTAAATATTTAAAAATAACAAAAAAAACATTAAATAAATAAAAGTTAAATAATTAAAATGTTACTAACCTTGTACTGTTGTCCAACATGACTTTGTCCATATTTAATGACAAATCCTCGGAATTTAAATTTCGTACTTGATTACTGACGCTGCCGCTGCCGCTATCGCTGCCACTGCCACTGCCACTGCCACTGCCACTGGTACTGTTACTGCTATTACAGCGCTCTGAATCTGTTGTTGTTGTTGTTGCTGTAAGTGTTGGTGTTGATATTGGTGTTGGTGTCAGTGTCGATGGCTGTGTTGCCGTTGATGACGTGGACGATGTTGACGACGAAGATGATGAGGAGGAGGAGGAGGAGGAGGAGGAGGAAGAGGATGATGATGATGACGTTGATAATGATGATAATTGTGTTGGTAATGTATCGGCTGGTAAAATTACAGGAGTCACTTCAGGCTCAAGTTGTAAACAACAATCGTTTTGATGTTGTTGTTGTTTTTGTTTTTGTTTTTGTGGATGTTTAAACAACATTGGCAATTCAATATGTGGTTGCTCTTTTTGTTGCAATGGAAAACTTGCAGCTGCTTTTTGTATTGGCGTTGCTGTAGTTGCTGTTTTTACAGAAACTTTTGCTATTTTAAATGCGTTTCGTTTTACCAACGGCTCCTTTTCTGCTTCTTCTGTACTAATTTCAACTTCGTCGGCAATTCCAAGTCCTCCTTCACCACCACTTATTTCACCTATATCACCTTTTGCACTAAAACCACTTGTTGCAGTCACTTTGCTATTCTGATAATTTGACTTTGCGTTTACGTTTGCGTTTGCGTTTGTGTTTGTGTTTGTGTTTGCGTTTTCCTTTGTTTTTGTTTTTATTATATTTATTTTGTTGCTTTCGTTTTCGTTATTTGTACTCTTCTGCTGCTGCGGCTGTTGCTGTTGCTGTTGCTGCAATTGCCGACGTTGTAGTGGTTGTTGCTGCTGTTGTTGCTGCTGCTGCTGCTTTAATTGTTTATCTTTTTTTTTTAATTTCAGTTCCTCTACTTCCTTTACTGCAACTTTTTGTACTTTAACTCTCTTCGACGGCGTTGTTATTGTTGTGGTTGCAGCACTGCTACCATTTATACCATTTACACCACCAATGCAACTATTCGCAGCCGCACCAATTGAGGTTGTTTCCTGTTGTTTATTACTGGCTAATGCTTTTGGTGGTAAGATTGGCAGTGCAGTGTTGACTGCTGTTGCAGTTCCTGTTGTTGACACAGTTGTTCCACTGTTGTTGCTATTTAAATGTAATTGTTGTGGTTGTGATTGGTGTTGTTGCTGCTGTTGCTGCTGCTGTTGCTGTTGTTGCAGCTGCTGTAGCTGCTGTTGTTGCTGTTGTTGTTGTAGTCCCTGCATTGATGAACCAACTTCTGGTATTATTGTTGCAAAAATTTGTTCACCAAATATAAAAAGATCCTTGGAAATAATCATTATCACCTTTTCGTTTCTATTTTAATTATTTTTAAAAAAAATTTTGATTCTGTATCGAATTTTGAATTGTGGATGCTGTTCTATTTTTTTTATTTTATTTTTTTTATTTTTATTTATTTAATAATTAATTTAAGCATATATATTTGTATTTTAAGCGTTCTTCATTTTGATCATTTGCTTGTTACTAATTAAAAATTTTTAAATAATATTAACTGTTATAAAATTTAATAGAAAATAGAATAAAAATATCCACTCTGTGTTTACGTGATCAAATTTTTCACAAGTTCGAATTATTTTCATCCTCTTCTGTTTTTAGTTACACACACAAATATTTCGAAATTGTCAAAAACTTGCAGAGAAATGCTAATTGAAGTTACTGGGTAAGAAAAATAATGACAGTAAAACTGTTTAAACAAGCCAAAAGCTTAATCGAATAGCCCGCGTATAGGAAGAACCTGATGAATAACACTCTGAAGACGAGGATTTTGTATATTTGGCAAAAATTGACTCAGACACGGTGATAGCAACATGAATCTTTTAAAGATTCTTCAGAAGATAAATATTGACAATATGGTTGAGAAGACAATCGAACACAGGATATTAAAAAGTATATGTTAAATACCTTATTCGAATAAAGTCGCAAGGCTCCCTTACCAACAATTAGCACTCGATAATGGCGAGCTCACTAATCAATTACTTTATTACAAATATCAACCGATTCCTATTATTCAAAGTCCAAGCAAAACACTTTACATCAACAGATCAGTACACGCAATATTATCATATTTCACAAAATAAGGAAGATAATAGAGATTTTTTATATAGCAGTAACGCTTTATCGAACTCTGCAACCAACTTATTCCACAAAGATTTCAAAATAGACAGCGATAGCAATAGAACTGAAGACAAGGTATAACTATAAAACTCTTAAGAAACTTAAAACTCTTTGTTAATGGGCTGGTACCCATACATTTACCCATACATTTTAAATTTAAAGCTGCACACATGTTATTCGCAATCGAAAAAGCAGTCTTATTAGACAAATCTAGACATCATCATCTGAACAACTTACAAAAAATAACAACGCCTCCCTCCCTATTTCCTTAATATAGAATATCCGGAATATGTAATTCCCGGTTAACAGTAAAAAATACGGAAAAAAATATAATAATGAGAATGCAAATAAACGGAAATAAAAAATATAGAAATGGTGCATCAGCAACAGGTAACAAAATCAAATAAGTACTACCGCAGGAGAGCCCAAATATAAGCTTTGTATAGATCCATAATAATGGTAGACGACATTTTTACACTGCTAAATCTAAGAGATAATTTACAATCAAATCAAATGCAAATAAAAAATCTCATTATAGCATGGAAAAGCAAAGTAATACGTGGCAAGCACAACAATAATTTGAAACAAGAGCATATAAGTATAGAATAGACCAATAAATGGTTTATAACTGATATGATTTTTCTAGAAACAGAAAAATTTGTTCTGGCTATCCAAGATAGTGTATTCATATAATAATAAGTAACTAAAAACGAATCAATAAAAATAAACGAATATACTTAAGGTCTAGAGAATATCAACCATCATTATGGATTAACGACTATGGAATACACTAAATTCAAACACCGCCATTTTAGCATGAGAAAAATAGTATTTGATAATTTACTTAAAATATTAAGTATAATAATATATTAAGTTATATATAATAATAAGATCAACAGAACTGGTAACAAAAATAACAAAACTTTGTATAGTAAATCTCCATTACAGAACATCCATTAAAATGCAAATGCAAAAAGCACTTCTATTATGTACGACAAGCATAAGGGGGACAACTATTGCTTGGATAAAGCTCCAATATTACAAAGCACAATTTCTTTAGCAGAGACTCGAGATAAGTATATACTAACCAACTGTCTGTGAAAAATTCAAATTATAATAATAATCAATTACCAAAGTTAACTTTCAGGCTCAATTATCATGAACACAAAATTTCAATAATCACAATATTATGCATAAATATGCTCTATTATAGCACAAAATTGAAGTGTACTAGATATAAAAACGATTTTTATTTTTTACTAAGCGTGTTTTACATTGAACATTACTTGTTAATATATATAAATTTGGAGATTTAAATCTCTAGGAGCATCGGTGTTTTCCGAATTCCTTAATTTGAAAATATATCTTTATGGTATAATGCTGGTAAATTTGATTTTCTCTTTATCCGATCCACTTTTAAATGAATATGTGTACAATATTGTATTTTATGTACACTAGAACCTCTATAATTCGAAAACTAGTTCAATGTTTCTGCTACACAAGAAGCAAAGCTGGAATACAATACACACAATCAATTAGATGTGATTCAAACATTTCCTCCATACCCCGGTGATTGTTTTTAATATTACAATCATCAATTTTATTCGTAAGTTGAGGTCCTTGTTGATTGGATTTGACCTCGTATTCAGTAGACAAGAATTGTCACGCTAAAAGAAAATGTGACAGCTTCAAAGTTCTAAACCTGGTACTTATAACCTAACAGTTATGTACGTTCTTATACAACAAAACTAACAACAGAACTCATCAGTGATATTTCTAAACATCACGATCGACATATGAATCACTCACACATTTAGCGGTAAACCAAGCTCTCATATATCAATCAATCAATCTTTTAAATAAACAAACCATCTCTTATGGCGCACATGACAACATCGTTTTTGTTGTAAATTGTTGTTTGTTGTTTTTCACATATTACATGCAAATAATCTTGGACAAATTTATGTATAGTATAGTTCTTTATGTATCGGAACATATAATAGTCAATATTATAATAGTGAGACAAAAACTTATAAGACGACTAAGAGCCTATCTATTGAAACTGTCTGTTAAAACTATTAATACCAAATTGCTTCTAATCTTACAAATATTTCTTAAATATATTCTAACTATATATATTAAAAGTTAAATAACTATACAGAAATATTAGTCTTATCTTTTAAATAAAATTGAGCAAAACATTTGTATAAATTTCTACATCCGATTATGAAAAATATAGAAAGTATTTTATTTTAGTATTTTATATCGGAAATTAAAAATATAATTTTATTTTGGTAATTGCAATTTTTAAGGAAACTTTTATAAATAACATGGACAAAACTTAACTAAGCTTCGCAGATATCGGTGGTTACTACAAGAAGTTAAAGTGCGAACCAGCCACAGGACAATGTATGGGATCGGTGCAAATAAGACTACAACATATTTACCAAATTTTGTATATAAAAATTATAAAAATGAACTATTAAATTAAAAATGTTTAAATTACAGTATTTAGTCTACTTGGTTTTATTAAAATATTTATCTAAATAAGATCAATTAAATTACTCTATCTAAAAGCAGTCATTAATAGCCTCCAACGCAATGCAAATGTTCTAAGTGAATAAATCCGAAACGTCTATGAAATCTTAATCCCTCAATGCAATGCAATAATTCTTTCCTTAATTTAGGTTGAAAAACTCAAGACTAAGTTGGAATCAGTAAAATGCAAACTAATACTAATGTCAAGATTTCTTGGTTAGGATCTTATATTCATCTACTTAATCCAATCTGTAGTTACCCACTCAAGACGCAAAAAATGCTACAAAAATTGTGTCAGTGGGCGTTTCTCATTGGTTTCGTTCCGTACGTGGCCCAACTTGGAATGATTTATTGAAGCAGGTTAACAAGACTGTCAACAGACAATAAATCAAAGACCATTTGACATACATAATATAAAAAATACGTATTTACGTATATTGAAATCATAATGTTCGATTGGTGACGAAAAATAAATTCGATTTTTTTATAAAAATAAGGAAGTTTAAATCAAAAAACGATATCATTATACACGGTATGTGTATTAAATAATATATTATATATATATATATATCGAAGTCAAGAAACATAACTGTAAAAGCTAATAACTTTTAAGTGCGGAAAGAGTAAATATCATAAATAGCTTAGAAGTGCTATTAATATTAATTTTATTTAAATAATTTTAAAAAAATTATACTATTACCATTTGAATTTAATTTAAACAATAAAAAAAAATTAAAACAAAAATGAAAGTTTTTATGGAAATGTGATTTTTGTAAATATACATTTCGAATTTTCAGGAATTTATAATTAGGATCATTTTAATATCTAAACTTATTAAACGATGCTTGGGAATTTTTCTTCTGTTTAAAGTATTTAATTTGTATTTCATTGGAACATAAAAATACCTACAAGTATTCTATTCTCTATTCTCTATTCTATTACTCTCTATTGGAGAGTTTTTAAATGTCTGACGTAAACACTTTAATAAATTATACGAAATATAATTTTTTTATTTTATTATGTTGAAGCTATTTGAGCCAGTGCACTTTTACTATTTATTAACTCGAGGTATCTTCAAAACCCCTCTTCACCCCTCTGCATACCTCACCAAGCAGCCTGTACCATTCTGAGATTCGATAACGCGGTGTTGATAAGCCTGTCAGTTTTCGTAAATAATTTCAGGGCTCTATCCTTTATGTATTTTTTGATCGGATCAATCATGAGGTCCCTGAGTATGTCATTCGTCCTAATGTACCATGGTACCTTGAAAAGTCGTTTTAGAGTCTGGCTTTGTTAAATTTCCTGCTGGCGAATAGTAGCAGTAGTAGTAGTATTTTATATTATTAGAATTTTATTCATATTTTTTTTAATATTTCAGCTTAAGTTTATATACAATATAAAAAAGCAACATTTCAAATATTGTTCAATTTTGTACCCAGACCGAAAGTTTTTTAAAACATTTTTAATGTATAATACAAATAAAACTAGTTTGGAAACGCATTGTAAGATAATGTCACTGTTGTTGGAAAATGGAACTTGTTAAGTTTACTAAGCTAGTTCACTGAACAAGTTTTGAATGTAGTGAAGCTTTTGAAAGTGTCGACTGTGTAGTGTGTAGTGTTTTACTAATTGGTTGTCAGGACACAAATCTTCTTTATTTATTATATATGCAAAATCTGCGCTTTCGTCTCAAAATCTACATTTTAGCATCGGTTGTTGGCCAAAAGATACACCCAGACAAAATCAACACAACAGCTGATTTTGAAACTAGTTTAATTTATTTTAATTAAAGTCATCTCCAGTCTAGATAATGTTTTTTTTTGGATATTATTTCAGACTTTTATTTTCTGATATTTCGATTTGGATTTGACGCTTCGATTCATTGACAGAGCAAACCTACTATCTTTATATTTAACGATTTTCGAGAAATTTTTATTGAAAATAGTCACCTACTTTCTGACCATTAAAAGTATTAAAGTTATATATGTATATATGTGAATAATATTTCGGAATAGCTTACAAGTTTTTTTTATAAAATAGAATCTTTTCAGTTCAAGTTCTTTTGAATCAATGATAAAAATATTTTATGGTATTTTATTTCTTCTGGCACAAAAAATCAGAAATGATAGCAATCCTTCTTCGACCTATTTGGTGCCAAGAACTGTGTTTAGTGATTAATTCTAATAAAATCTTTTATTTATTATATAAAAATCAAATTACTTATAAATATATAAACACATATTGTATATATTAGTAAATGGAAACGATCAGTTAGTTTTTGGTCATTGTAGAAAGTAGCAGTAAGTAAGTTTCTGTTAAAAAAAAATAAAGACCAAATCGGTTTTGATCAAAAACCTGTCAAAAATCTATTTTTTCAAACAATTTTTTTGACCTCTCCCGAAATGATGAAAAAGTTAAGTCAACCTTATATACTCATGTAAAATTCTGAAGTATATAAAACATTAAACTATGTAAAATTCTGCATACATACAGTTTTTCATTTTTTTCATATATTTTTTTGGGTTTTTAAATCTAATTTAAAACCAGGCTCAGAGATCTATTATACACAGTTCCATTTTTCTTCAATTTAAGAACAAATTAATTTAGATATTAAATGATTATAAGTTTTTTTTTTTTTCAAATTATTAATTGTTTTTTTTTTAATCGTTCATTTTTCAATTACCACACTTAGCTTTCCATATTTTCTGAGATTAATTTTGATTGAAATTTTGACTAAAGTCGACTGATATTTCTTGGCTAGAAAAGAAAATTTTTTCGCTTGTGCAAAATTTTCGCTCCTTGGTTGCGAAGCGCGAAATGAAAACTAACTTCAAAATTTCGCGCGCTATTGCCAACAAACAAAGATTGCAGAAAACAGAATTAGAGATGCACAACAACACAAAACCAACTCCACACAAAGGCACAGACAAAAACAAAAAACAGGGAAATTTTTGCCAATAAAAACAAATTTAAAAAAATTTGAAAAAATTTAAAAATATTTTAAAATACGATAAAATATGTTAATAAACGTAATGAAAACGTAATCAATAAATTTTACTCAGACACAGAAAAAAGGAAAATCTCTCCAGTTTCAAAAAAACTTAAAAAAATAAATAAAAAGTCAAAACCAATTCACAATTGATGTTGTTGTGTTTGTTGTTGTTATTATTATTATTGTTGTTGTTGTTATCGCCGCCACAATTAAAAACATATTTTGTTGTTGGTGCATTTTTTGTTCAAAATTTTTTTCGCCAAATTTTACAAATTTTATTTTACTTTTATTCGATTTTTACACATAATTTCTTTGTTGCATTTTTTACATTTACTTTTAGAATTTTTTCTTTTTCTTCTTCTTTTTTATTTTTTTAATATTTTAATTTTTATATTTAGTATTTTTAATTTTTACTAAAATTTAAACTTTTTAGGTGATTTTGTTTATATATTTTAATTTCTTTGTTGTTGCTGTTGCTGTTATTTATTTATTATTTATTTATAATTTTTTTTGCACAAATTAGTTGAATAAAATATTTAATTAGATTTAATTTTGAATTATAACAGTTGTTGTTGTTGTTGTTGAACACAAAAACAAAAAAAACACAAAAATATAATTTTTATATATAATAAATATTATTATATTTAATTCTCAGAAATTACGAATCATTTTTGAGTAAAATAGAATAAAACATTAATTAAAATTGATGTACATATGTAAAAAAACCAAAAAAAACCCGCACGAGTTATAAAGAATATTTGTTTCGTTAATAATTTGTAATTTGTTAGCCTTTTTTTCATAAAAAAAAACAGCAATAAAAAACGTATACGTTATATGCTTTTGTTTTGGAAGTCTTGCAGTCGCGTTTTTCTCTGTTCCACCGCCGATCTTAACTTATCATGTCTTTTGCCGACGAAGACCGTTTATCGTATGAACTGGCTGGCAAGCAGCAAGCAAGAAAATGTGATCGGATGTGCCCAGGCACTGTTTGTTGTGATGAGCAGAGTTTTGTGTAAAAAATAAGAGAACCAACGAAAGAGTACAAAATCAATAAAAAAGCAAACTGCAAGCAGCAAACGTTAGCATTAAGCAGCAAACAAATGTACATATTGTGTTTCATCGCTCTTTTAAATCAACACACGGTTTTGTTCTGTTTCTGTTTTTGTTTTTGTTATTTGTTGCATTTTCAATGGGGTGCATTTTATTTCACAACAAAAACACAACAAAGCTTAATTTTTGGCTTTGAAATCAATGATCGGCAAAAGCAATGAAACTCAATGACGACTCTGAGCGAAAGTTTGTTAAATCAAACAAAAACAATTGCGTTTTTGTTTTTGTTTTCGTTTTTGTATTTGTTATTTTTGTGTTATGTGTTATGTGTTATGCCTTGTATTTGTAATGTGCATCGTTGAAAGTTGTAAAAAAATCTGAGCGAAAATACCGGAAATAGAGCTTCCAAAAGAGTAAATTTTCTTCAACGATACGGCAGTTCTGTAATTGTAAGAGAAATTTAAAGAGCGTTTTTTTTCTTAGGTTAGTTTAACTATACATACAACAATAAAAATTGCTAGGTTAAAACATTCACACAAAGATTATTGAGCATTTCAATAATGTCGATTACGCCGATTACGCCGATTATGCTGATTTCTTGAGTTCTCTGTCCAGTCTATCTGATTTCGGGTTTCCTTTTTACACGGTCCATCCATCCAACAATTCCGAAAAAAAAAATTCCGGAACTAAGTAGAATGTTCGAAAAGTTTTCCACTAGAATATATGGTAAATGAAATTTCAAAAATATCAGCTATTTTTCAAGTAATTTTTTTCAGGAATCAATTTGAATTGCTTGAAAATATTAAGAAAAACTAACATTGCCTTATGCTTTAATTAAAAAAAATAGTTTCAGTTTCAATTGAAATCCAAATTAGATGAAGTTTCTGAGAAATGCACGCCAATATCTTCTAAGTCCAACTTCAAACTTACCGTATCAGCTTTTTTTGTGAAGACTGTTCAGGATCGCCAAAATCCTTCCCAATTAACGAAAACTTTAAAAAATCAATTGGCATCTGATGGTGGTCGAATAAAAATTAGAGGGCTTATTGAGGCTATATGGGTTCGGATGTGTACACCTTCAAAATATTGTGTGGGATTTTAGGCTTTGAAAGAAATTTTGTGCTGCAAGAAATAAACTGAGCCATTTATACTTATGGATTTGAATGTATTGCCGTAGTGAAAATAGGAGAAACCATATGACCCATTTGAATTTGATACAATCATTTGACACTTGCATTGTATTTTTTTATGTGCGTAGTATTTGATGATCGAATCAGAAAACTGTCTATCAGAGTTGTTCATAAACTTACCGTTTAGTCTGTAAATTAATAACTCCAGTTCGTGGTATCAGAAGTGACCATTATTTAAGATCAAAGGGCAACCCAACTTAACTTATCCTTTGATTCACTAGATGTACCTCCGAACGACTACATATCTTATATTTATCTAAATTCCCAAGTTCAGCTCAATGGACAATATAACTAGTCAAATAAAGAGGTTATGTATAGTTAATTTGAAGACTTTGAACTATGTACTCATGTAGTTCAAATTTAGCATAGTTTAAATAAATTCCGTCAGTACTGGTACTGGTAGGCGTTTAGAAATATCTTTTTAATTACTAACATTATATCTCGAAAAATCTACCCAGTACTTTTTAAAAAAATTGTGTTACTAATGCTATATTAGTAACTTTATTAAAATCTAATCATCATAATCACGAGTATATCCATCTCCACGATTTAAGATGGGATACTCCAAAACAGTTATCAAAGTGTTTTTGCATCTACGTACTTTCAAATTATTTTCTACTTTTATGCATAAAATAAGCTATTTTAAAAGAAAATCTTATTTTATGAACATTTTCGATCGTTATTTTATCAGCACACACAATTTTAATATAAAGTAATAACTGAAAGTCTTTGAAGTGTAGTGGACATATTTTATCACCCTCCTCTCTTTGTTCCTCTCTGTTTGATAATATGGTGGAATGGTTCTCTTATATGTAATTTACACTAATTAACCGAAGTAATACTGTATATGTTAATTCATAAGTTCCAGTCTTTTGTTTGGTCAAATCCCATCCCCGAAAGGCCTACCTGCGTTACTGTTAATGTCTTGAGTTTCGTAATAACATACCTACACCTTTTCTTAATTCATTGCCCTATTTTTTGAGTGCCGATTCTTTATATATGATAACGCAAACGGTTGGTTCATTGTATTCAAAATATCTAAGAGACAAATTTCACAAAGCACAACAATTATTAAGCACTTTCGATCGTGCAGAACAGACTTCACGAGTAGATTCGCAAACAGTAGTGATTAGGCCATTTTAACCGAATTTATTAAACAACACAGAAAACCAACAAGAGCAACAAAAACAACAACAATAACAGTAAAACATTTATTATAGTCTTAAGTGATAATTTTCATAGCTCTCATCCACTATACATGCAATCATTAAAGGCCTAATTACTTGACAAAAATCAGCTTGAAATTTAGACATAAAATACTTTATTTTCATTTAAATGTTGCTACCAAATTTCTTATCGTCTTAAGATAAGTTCAAAACATTTGACTACAAAGTACTTTTATTACTTCACACAATTTTATTTCTCAGAGACCTATTCCAAAATGTAGATTTTTTTCTTTTTTATAAACTGCAAACGAAATTTACTAGCCAAAAAATTATTATTAACTCTGACACCTTCTCTTAATATATGCTTTTTTTAAAAGTACTCCTTTGAGGACAAGTACTCCAGTTGCTATTAATTTCCATAGCACGAAGTCGCTTTTCCTATTCCCAGATCTGCATGGCACAGCAGATCATCGGGATCCAAAACTATTTTTATGTTTTTAGACCACCACTTCGTACAATATTTTCTAGAGAAAAGTAGTTTATTCTATAGTATATACCCTCGAAAATGTATCCAAAATCATTACAATAAAAATGGAAAAACATGTGGCATGTGATAAATCGAAACTAATATGATTGAGATATAATCCATAGACAACGGAAATTTTGTCCAAATTTAGCGAGATTAAAACATGCTACTGTCTTATATGAATCTTCGAAAAGTAATATCATTTACCAACCACTTAGGTTAGTTCAAAGACGTTGAATTTTGAACAACTTCTTGTTCCACGTCAATATAGGTCTTTCGAAATTAATTAAAATTATCAATCGTTCCAGCTGAGTCAAAGAATTAATATTAAGTATCAGGGTATTTTTTGGTATATAGTACCAAAATAACACCTTTGTAGTACTCGGATGAAAGAGGAAGCCAAAGCAAACCATTTCATCCTACTGCATAGAATAAATCAAATTATATTCAGAAATGCCAATACTTTCTTGTCTGGAGAATCTCAAATACTTGTTGATTCTGTCAGATTGACTTCTTTAAATTGAATGTAGCAACAGTGACCGTAGAGGCAGCGATTAAGTTGCTTGCCTCACGAGGTAAACAGGGTTAAGTCCACAGTAAATGTGGGGCAGTAAGAAAATTTAAAAACTCTTATGCGCAATAAGACATTTCCAAACTATAAAAAACATCCTCTATATTAATTATATTATTAAATAATTTATTATTAAATTCTTGTTATTAAGGGGAAACCATTATGCTGCATGTAGGGTCTTGAATTTTAGAATGTGCTTTCGAATGTAGCTTCCACCATCTACAGATTGTTATCTGAACTTAATAGAAAAAACAAACAGAAATGTTAATGAAATGATGCGGGATGGAAAAATGAGAATCTTTAAAAAACAAAATAGAATCGACGAAGTTTCAGTTCGCGTTGTTTTTGTTATTGTATTATGTACACATAAATTCGATTTTTCAGCAATTGCGTTCGCAATCAATGAATGATTATGAAGTAGGGCCATTGCCTGGTTTTTATTCTCAAAG